AAAAAATATTTTTATAACGAATTATCTGGAGAAAATATTAGCGATGATGATTATGATCATGCAAAATTAGTTTGGAAAAAATTTCGTTGTAAAAATTTTAAAGATTATTTAAAATTATATCAATATGTTGACACTTTATTACTAGCTGATATATTCCAAAATTTTAGAAAATTAAGTTTAAAATATTATAATTTAGATCCAGTATATTTCATAACAGCTCCAGACTTAACATGGAATTGTGGATTAAAAATGACAAAAATTCAACTCGAATTATTTAAAGATATTAATATGTACCTTTTTATTGAACAAGCAATTCGCGGCGGAATTAGCCTAACTTCGAAAAGATTCGCGAGGGCCAACAATCCTCTAATTCCAGAAACCTATGATAAAAATCAACGACATAACTATATTATTTCGATAGATGCTAATAATCTCTATGGGTTTGTGATGAGTTCTTATTTACCTGTAAATAATTTCAGATGGTTATCTGAGGATGAGATAAATGCTTTAGACATTTGTAATATTCCTGATAGGAATAATATAGGCTATATTTTAGAGGTTGATTTAAATTATCCACCAAATGTTCATGACCGCCATAACGACCTCCCATTAGCTCCTAGCCATACGAATATTCCATTTGATTTATTATCAAATTATCAAAAATCAGTATTAACTAAATTAAATTTAAAATATAATAATAATAATAAGAAATTAATCCCAACTTTGTTTGATAAACAAAATTATGTAATTCATTATAGAAATTTAAAATTTTATTTAGAAGAGGGTTTAATATTAACTAAAATTCATCGAGTGCTTGCATTTAATCAAGAACCGTGGCTTAAAAAATATGTATTGTTTAATAATCAAAAGCAACAGGAATCAATGAATGATTTCGATAAAAGTTTTTTCAAGTTATTGAACAACAGTTTTTTTGGTAAAACCTGTCAGAATGTAAGAAAGCGTTTAAATTTGACAACAGCTATGACTGAAAATCAATGTCAAAAGTATTTATCTCACTCAGCTCTCGAAAATTTCCAAATTATTAATGATAATCTCACGATTTTTAAAATGAAAAAAATTAACTTATATTTGGATAAACCGATATATATAGGTTTTTGTGTATTAGAATTAAGTAAATTGCATATGTATCAAACATTTTATAAAATATTTAAAATAAATATGGTGAAAATGTGAATTTGTTATATACNCTGAAAATCAATGCAAAAAGAATTAGTCTCCTCAGCTCTCAAAAATTTCCTAATTATTTATGATAATCTCACGATTTTTAAAATGAAAAAAAATTAACTTATGTTTGGATAAACTGACTTATATAGGTTTTTGTGTATTAGAATTAAGTAAATTGCATGTGTATCAAACATTTTATAAAATATTTAAAATAAATATGGTGAAAATGTGAATTTATTATATACAGATACCGATTCGCTAACGCTTCAAATTTATACGAATAATTTATATAACGACTTTGAATCATATCCAGATATTTTTTATTTCAGCAACTACCCTAACACACATGAATTATTTGATATAACAAATAAAAATAAGCTAGGATATTCTAAAGGCGAGACGGCGTCTAAACCTATAATAGAATTTTGTTCATTAAAACCGAAAATGTATTCGTATATTTTCGATAATCAAAATAAAAAAACAGCTAAAGGAATTAAAAAATCTGTTGTTAAAACTTTTAACCACGAGAAATATAAAGAAGTTCTCTTTAATACTGAGCTATTAAGACATCAGCAGTGTGGTATTAAAAGTAAAAACCATGTTGTAACAACATATTTTCAGAATAAAATATCTCTCTCACTGTTTTATGACAAAAAATTTATTTTTGATAATGGTATAGATGTGATATCGTTCGGACATTATAGTTTTCATAATTAAATTTTTCCAGATTCTCTGATATCATCTTCCCCCCAATATGGTTACATATTATTGTACAAGANTTTACTGTTACAATTTATAAGATACAATTATCAATTGATCCATTGTTAACTCAGTACATTTATTTTTATATATTTTATATTATATTTGCATACAATTCAAAAATTTCCTGTTACAATATTAAAATGCTCAAAAATATCATAATGTGAATTTGTACAGTAAAACCTCTTAATGATTTTGACAAAATTTTACCTTTAATTTATCATTAACGTCCAAATCGCTAACACTTAAAACACGTAACTGTTCGATGCATGCTGTTGCCTGAAAATATTTAAAGGATTTATTTCATTTTTAAAATAATTAACCAGTTAATTGGTTACATTATTCGTCATGTTCACCGTAAAATATTTTTTAGCGTATGAAATTCTCAGGATTGTGTTTATCAAACGAGGGTTGTATCTGTCCTTTATTCAACAAGAGGCATTTTCTCTGTTAGCAATACAATGGCTCACGTGTGTATTGAAATAGGAAAGTTTGAAAATGTTTTATTGTTAGTATTTATCACAGAAAAATCTCCCGTAAAGTAATCCGAATAAACTATTTGTAAACAATTTAATTGTTTTTAAACAGTTTATACTAATTATTCTACGTGAATTCCTTTTTTTCTTTATTATTGCAAACCTTCCATGAAGTCATTTATTTCCGTTCTTCCATCGTAAATATTGTAAATTAAGCAATATTCTTTCATAGGTATCAATAAAACAAGATTAAAATTAATTACTACTATTCCTTAAAAAAAAACATTAAAATATTGACTCACCTTCACCGAAACATCAGCAACAGCCATACCAAATACAACAAATAATATCGTGAGGATCAGTGCCCTTAATCCAAACATGAGTTTATCAATAGAAGAGGCAAAAATGACAAAATACAAACAACAAGCAATGGAATTTGTGATGGAAAAGCATATAATTGTAAAGTAGTAAGAAAATTTATTATCGGCTTCTCTGGTGATATTGCATAATTCAATAAATTTTCCTTCTTCGATTCGTAAAGCAATATTTAATCTTTCTGGACTGCTTCTACACTCCGACAGAGCCCGAGTGATATTGGAAAATTTTAATGTTATAAAATACAATACGAGAAATCCTATAGGAACGGAATGTGACAGGACCCGAAGATCCAAAACGTAAGGAACTGATAAAAAGCTGAACAAATGATCAATTTATTCTCTGGAATGGGAACGGAACGAATTCCAATGTGAGACCCAATTGATATTATTACGCATCCAGAAACAAATTTAAATAATACAAATCTTCGAACCCATTTCCTGACTTTCAACAACTTTTCTATCTCCACTTTATAATTATATTCGAATGTTTGAATTTTTACATATTTTTTAAAATGACTTTTAACTAAGCAAATCAGTAGCGAAGAAAGAATCCCTAAGAGGAAATATTTACCGAAAATGATGGTAATGTAGCTATCTTTTATTTTGTAAAGGAAACCCCCGCAATACTGGATACTCGTTTCCTCATTAACCAGAGAAATAAAAATTCCCCAAAAGTAAATCAGAACCCAAATTACGAGTAAAAAAGCATAATACAGCCGTTCGCAATTGCTAACGCCATCTTTTACTTCGTGGCACGTTGGTAAAATATTTATGCCAAACCTCTTCAATATATACGTGAATGGCTGTAGATAACAATTGATACAAAATGTTGGTTGTTTGAAATTTCTTGATGAAATTCCTGAATTCATCTGGAAAGTATAATATATTTAAATTGTTAACTTATTATAGAATGCTTTATACTGTAAACACGGATTTAGTGTATCTTGTTACTTAAATTTACATTTAAACAAAATATTTCTTTATTTTTACAATCGGTATTTTAATCCTTGTTCTAATTGAACCTTTTTTTTTATTTATCTAATACTTTCCCCGTAATATTATTTCCATCTAATGGACCTCTATCTACCTTAAGTATTGTACCTGACAGGAGCGAAATAACTTTGGGTACATTCTATATTCTGTAGCAAGGGTGTTAATATTTTTTTTAATTCGCAGAATAGTAAGAAGTCACGAATTTTCTATTGTTTGTTGATAATGGTATTTGGAGTTTCTCTTCGGGATTAGGAAAAAGGCAATAACAGACAAGTGTTTCAAATATCCCTGCGTTACGTGCATAGCATCTAGGATACGCCATAAGGGTGCGACTATGCAGACGCGAACAAGCGAATTTTCCAAGCGAGCGAGAATATGTGGCGAGAAGAGGCGAGACTCGATAAATATCAAAACCTGTCAGATATGTGCGATAACCAGAAATTCGCTCTCGATGGCGTTATTTCTCGCTTTTCGTTTGTGCATGATTTTCCTTTGCGAAAACTAAATCGCTCGCAACCTCTCGCTCGCTCTAAATTCGCGTCTGCATAGTCGTACCCTAAGAGTTCGTTTCAAAAGTCGGTTTATTTAGTAAAAAGTTTGAAAAATCTGAAAATATCAATATCCTTGTAACCCCCTGATTCACAGAAAATGGAATGCATTGATTTTACTTACTGTTAAAATTTCATTTCTGTTCAAATTAGTTGAAATTCAATGATATTGTGGACTAAGCAGGCACATTTCTAGTAATTCTAAGAAGCGACTGTTTACTAACGACGTTTGCTCTTTTTACATAAATATAATTGCTCCTGTCTGTGATTTTAAAAATCATAAAGTTTCTCAAAGACTAATTAACTTACTCGGAATGCATTGGAAATTATATTGAATTTATATCAATTAATCAATCAATCAATAATCTTTACAAATTCTCGTGTTTTAGTGCATGCAGCGCACGAGAATACTTAATAAATTACTTTAAGTAGTGAATTCTTCACTAATTACTCACTCTTTCCTATTAAATTGATTAGTTCAGGACTCGATAAATTTTATATGGCCACTTTATTGAATAAATTAAAATTATTCCTGTGTATTTTAAGGCGTGTTATATAATTAATAAACTTTTCCTGATAACAACAGAGTCATGCTGATTAAACTCGATTCTGGAGAAACTTTTTATATTGACAGCAATCGAGTACATATCAACAGAGTTATGCTGGTAGCAACTCTTAAATATCCTTCTCATCTGCATTTCCTAGTCCTGCTGTATCTATTAGGTTGACAATTTGGTAACGATAGGCTCTTCTCGTTGATAGTTTTTGGATACCTATAACCATACCTTCTTCCACACTCTGTTCATGTTTTTATTAGTTAATTCTTGCCATGCGAAGTCGATATTGCCTATTGCAGGGGTGTCCAACCTTTTTGTTTCTCTGGGCCCCATTGGAAGAAGTCAAGGAGTTTTGGGCCACAAGTATATATAATATATACTTGTGGCCGAATATACAAGTATATTTAAGGACTTACATGTGTAGATAATAATAATAAATATTATAACTTTATCAAGAAAAAAGNAATGATAATCTCACGATTTTTAAAATGAAAAAAATTAACTTATGTTTGGATAAACCGATTTATATAGGTTTTTGTGTATTAGAATTAAGTAAATTGCATATGTATCAAACATTTTATAAAATATTTAAAAATAAATATGGTGAAAATGTGAATTTGTTATATACAGATACCGATTCGCTAACGCTTCAAATTTATACAAATAATTTATATAACGACTTTAAATCATTTCCAAATATTTTTAATTTCAACAACTACCCTAACACACATAAATTATTTGATGCAACAAATAAAAATAAGCTAGGATATTTTAAAGATGAGACAGCATCTAAACCTATAATAGAATTTTGTTCATTAAAACCGAAAATGTATTCGTATATTTTCAATAATCAAAAGAAAAAAACAGCTAAAGTAATTAAAAAATCTGTCGTTAAAACATTTAACCACAAGAAATATAAAGAAGTTCTTTTTAATAGCGAGCTATTGAGACATCAGCAGTACGGTATTAAAAGTAAAAACCATGTTGTTACAACATATCTTCAGAATAAAATATCTCTCTCACCGTTTTATGACAAAAAATTGATTTCTGATAATGGTATAGATTTGATATCGTTCGGACATTATAATTTTTATATTTAAATTCTTCCAGATTCTCTGATATCATCTTCCCCCCAATATAATTACATATTATTGTACAAGAAGAAACGAAATTCAAAAACTTGTTTAATACATGGTGTTTCGAGTAAAACATATCGTTGTTTAAAACAAGCCATAAATAAATCTGGATTATTTAAATTACCTCGGAATCAGAAATACTATTGTAAATTTTTTGTATTGACTAACCAGATAACGATGGTGTTATGTAATAATAATTTTATAAAATGTGGTTGTTCTAACTGTACTTTGTAACCATGTTTATATATATATATATAAAAAAACTATGCTAATACTGAGTTTTTTTTTATAGAATTCAAACACATTACACCACTTGAATGGGAGAAATTCTCGAGTTTACCCATGGACGAAAATAATATCAGACGTTTTAAAAACTATATTAAATGGGAAATTATAAGCCAAAAAACCGATTTAAGCCGAGACTTCATTTCCGAATTCGCGGATTATTTAAACTGGGAACTAATATGGAAAAATTATATATTTACCACTACGTTTATCGAAAAACATATTAAATACGCTAATTGGAATATAATTTCAGAACACCAATTATTAGACGAAGAATTCATGGATAAGTTTTCGGACTATCTTAATTGGGATAAAATAGCAAAATTTCAACTTCTCTCTGATAATTTTATTAAGAAATATATTGATAAATTAAATATGAGAATAGTTTTAAAATATCAGCGATTAAAAACTGATACTCTGCGGGAATTACAAGATTTTCTCCACTGGGATTTGGTTTCTCGTTATCAAATACTGAACGAAGATTTTATTCACGATTTTAAATACCATCTTTTCTGGTGTTATATTATTAAATATCAGAAACTAGATCATAAATATATCGCTGAAAACTCTCACAGTTTGTTAGTCTACATACTTCAAGATATTAGTAACATTGTCGATGATGGAAAAATTAAATAAATTCGATAAAGAAGAAGAAGAAAATTAAAATCTGTAACATCGATTTTAAAGAAATAAAAAAATAGTTAAAAGAGTCCATTGTTTTTAAATCTAGTAATTAATTGTATTATCGTTGATAAAGAAAAAAACTTACGTTCTGAGCGTGATGAGATGTCGGTACAAAAAGAAGTAAGTCTCTGAACAGAAATATTGAATGCAGGGGAGGTGCTTTCGGTAGATTAATTAAAAAATGCAGCCTACAGCTTAACTTCAGGGGTGTAGTAGAGAAAGA